AGGGAAAGTAATGTTCATCGAAGTGGACATGTCTCGAGATAATTATTTTACGAGAGACAATATCAAGGCAACGATATCTACGATGATGGAATGGAAATCCAAGGAAAACACATGGTGTGGATCGAGGAGAGAGTAGTGTTGGGATTCCTTATATCTCTACAGCGAATCTAATTTCTAAGAGATCGGTTCTAGGGTTTGCGCAACGGATGTAAAACAAAAATTTTATGAAACCCTAAAACCTAGCATGCATGATTTTGTAGAAACGTTAGAACACTTACCTCAATCGATCCGATGCCAGTATCAATCGATGTATTCATCCGAACACAAAGGCAGGAAGATTACCTCGCCCTCTACACGTATCCACACGCGCGGAAAGGATTCCAACAGTTGGAACTCGTCTGCTAGGACCGAAGAACACCTTCTTCTTTGCGCAAGGGTTTCAGGATCTAACTATGGGTTTTTCGATCTCAAAACTCTCTCAAAAAAGTCTGTGAAATCGTGCTCTCACCCTTAGGAGGCGTTCCCCAAAGTTTATTCACCTTAAAACCCTAGTTAGAATGAGATGAAGAATTCCCGACGTCTGGACCGATCGGTCTGGAGCTTTTAACGTGTGGAACGATCGGTCTAGAACTTTTCCGGACCGAACAACGTTTGCTCGTCACCTCCGGACCAATCGGTCCACGTGTCTGGACCGATCAATCTGGGCTGACTAGACAGAGGTCCGGTCGGTCTGGCCTCCGCTGCACCAGAAATTTCTCGTCTTTTCTTGCGCGTTTGTCCTTTCCTATGTATGTGACCCTGTAGGTTCATCCGATATAACAGTATAACCCGAAATCTATATTTCGGTTATACAAGTCATAGACAGTCTCTAGCAAGACACTATGACTACCTATCTCGAATAGAGTTTGTCCGTGATCTTACGAACGTCGGTGATGATTCTGGTTGATGATTCTTTTGTATCACGATATCATATGTCAAACATAAGGAATGGAAAAGCCACCTTATCTAATTCGACTGCTTTCTCGTTCACTGAGTTCGACTGTACGAAATAGACGACGTTCGTCTATAGTGCAGCCACATATTTCTACAGTCTCGCTCACACGAGGGGCCCAACGATATCTCTCTCTTTTATGAGTGGTACAAATCCCATCTTGACTATCTACAATTCAGCACATGATTCGTGTCATACCTGTCTTTATAATCCTTCTGTTACGCAGGACGTTTGACGTATTCAAAGTACGCAACTCCTCATGTTGGATTCCGTAGATATCTCAGGTCATAGGATCCAATCATGGAACCGACATATGAGACTCAAGTCATGACGCTAGTCCATGTGACAATCTCACGTGGGTCAATCCAGTATTCTGTTATCCAACGAATACCTATGATTGTGATCATATCCAATACCTATGATTATCTCTATGATCATCAATCACACATCATACTAGTCTTAGTATATCATTATTCCCACAATGACATATGACTAGGGAGTTTAGTATTGTTCATAACAATACATGGATTTCATAACATATTAAAGTATGCACAATACGTAATGAATCAAACACTCATCCATAAAACCATAGAAAGTCAATACATCAAATGTATCATAAGAAAGCTCATAAAACAATACATCGTAGAGCACTAAACCAACAATGATGAGTTGTAGCAATGAGATTAGGATAACATAGACATCCAAACACTTTCAAGTGTAAGAAAGATGCGGGTTTTTCAAATAATTTGGTGTACGAAATGTCATTGTTTATGGTAGTAAAGGGAAGAAGATTTAAAATGTGTACGCTATGGTGCAAGGCTTCAACCCAAAATGTGGATGGAAGTTTGGCTTCAACAAGAAGGGTTCAGATATGGTTATTAATTGTGTGAATGATGCGTTCGGACTTGCCATTTTGTGTTCATCAAAAAAGGAGTGGAATTGTTTGTTATCATATTCTCCCCCATGATCACATTGAAACGATTTGATAGTGGTACCAAATTGGTTTCGAACATAGGAGGTGCAATAAAGGAACTTGGAGAACACATAATTCTTTCTTCGAAGAGAATAAATCCAAATAAATTGAGTGAAGTGATCAAGAAAAACAACATAGTAACATAGACCACTAACCCTCGAAATAGGCGAAGTCCAAATATCGGAGTGTATAATTTCAAAAGGTGCCGAAACAATGGATATAGAACGAGAAAAAGGAAGACGAACGCTCTTGCCGAGTTGACATGTCTCAAAGTCGAGGTCATGTTTGATTTATTACATGGAACGAAACCAAAAGAGTTGCCCAGATGACCTAGCCAACACCATAGTATGATTGAGGACGATAGTGGTGAAGAGTGTGCAAGGAAGGCAGACACATTGGTTTCGGTCAGTGGATAGAGAGGTAGGACCTATCACATCGGAGAAGAGTCTGTTGAGTTGGACGATCCTTAATAGAGAAACCATATGGATCAAATTCAATAGAACAATTGTTATCGGTAGTAAACTGACATACGGAAACCAAATTTTTGATGATAGATGGTGTAACAAGAACATTGCGGAGAGATAGAGTGTAGGTTGAAGTCAGGAAGGTTATATGACTAGATTTTTGGATGGGGATTAAAGAATCATCACTGACGGTGACGGAGGGCAAAATGCTCGAATTAAAAACAGTGTGGAGATTACCTGATTGATTGGTCAAATGAGAAGTTGCACCCGAGTCCATGTACCACGTGTTGTCGGCAAGATTTTGCAATGTCGTGGTGTTAAATGCATGGGCCAAAGTCGTTGTGGGCTGTGATATGTCGGAGGGAGCAGTCTGAGATTGTCAATATGGTGTAGTTGCTTGAACAAAAGATTGTTGATGCGGACTGGTGTCAAGAATTCCATGAGAAAAACCCGGATAAGACCATGGGTTTGGCCAAAACGGTGGCCATTGAGGAGGGTTCCACAATCCTCGTTATAGTTATTGTTGTGGAAACGACGTCCATGTGAGGATCGACCATGACGCCTGCCAGATATGTTGTCACGTTGATGATATGATCGTGGAGAGGATGACCATGATGGATTTGGTCGAGGAGAAGGCGAAGATGGTGCATTGGCGGTGTATAGAACAGTCGGTGCCGAAGGCTGATCCGTATGGTTCGGTTGATGACATGTGGTCTTAGTGAGTCGTCGTTCCTCAAGAGTGAGTATAGATTGAGTATCTTCAAACGAAGAGAATGGTGATTTGTGTTTGATGATATTGACAATGTTGTCAAACTTGTCATTCAAACTATTGAGCATATGCATGACAAGAGTGCGATTGATGACTTCGTCATCAATGTTGGAGAGTAGATCCGAAAGTTTCTTCAAGCGTTGACAATACTCATAGACCGTGAGATCGCTAATGCTCATATTATGGAGTTCATTCTCGAGTTGAATTATGGCTCGAGCCTCCTTGTTGTCCCGAAATTGGCTTTCAAGTCGTGACCAAAGGGCACCAAAGGGCATGTGCCGTGCTTTTCTTCTTGAGCACGGTAGTGAGTAATGATTGAGATATCGTGCCATAAATCCATAGTTTGACAAGACCGTCGACACGAGTCCAGTATATGTCATTGGTTCCGGTCGGAAGAGTAGTGCCGTCAAGGTGTCTTATAACTCCGAAGCTAAGGCAGTGTTTTTCGAAGAGTTCACGCCATGCATCATAGTTGTACTCTTCCATGTTTAGGGTTATGAAAATGTGAAATTTGATATCGCTCAAAACAAAGGGTTTTTCGGCAACCATTGTTGAGGGTAAGGAAGAACAGAAGAATAGAAAGAAGAAGATGAAGAAGAGAAGAGAAGACAATAGGCGACGTTTAGGGTTGGAGAAAAAGATGGGAAAGCTCTGATAACATAAAATTTGATATAATCTCTCATACTCTTTCCATTATCATTGAATCACATATATATACAACAAGAGTGTTATAGTAAATAATGTATATAAGGCAATACAAATATACTCGCATACTATATGCTATCATTCTATATATGTGTCATCTATCATGATTTAATGTTCACTAATTTTATTTTATATTCCATCCGTTTTTAAATATTTGACATTTTAGATTTTTTCACACTTTTTAAGAAACTATAAAAAATCATATACATCCTGATTAAATTATTTCTTATTAATACTTTATTTCATTAAAATCAAAGGTAAAATTGGATTTTTTTTTTAAAACACCTAAAAAATAAAAAATGACATCTATTAAGTAACAAAATATGTACTATTAAACGTCATTTATTAAAAAACAGAAGGAGTATTAAATAATCATATTAACAATTCTAGATGATTAGTATCGACAATTAAATGTTTGTTTACATGATTTCTGGTGAATACTTAATTTTCGTTTATTTATTAGCTTCTAACTTTTACACATAAAAGAGGGAGGAGAATGGTATCGATTACAAAGAGAATCTCTATATCCATCCATCCACTCGAGACTTATAGATTACTCGGACTGCAAACCTCGCGCAGTCGTAGTTTGCTTTCCCGAAACGTGGGTGGGTCAACTCTATTGTTTTAAAATGAAATCTTTTTGTATTCCCCGCTCCATTAGATATTTATTGTTAGATCTAAATCGGACGGACGAGATCCATTCTGCAAAACACCCCCAACCGTCGAGATCGAGCGGCTGCGGACCCTTTTTGTTTCCCCCCATAACCAAAATTAATTCATCGCCAAGAGGCTTCCATAATTATATTCCTTTGTAGGTCCTTTTCGGAATTCAATTATTATTTTCCATTTTACAATTTACAAGACAATAGAAATAATAAGTCTTATAACACAATCATATTAGATTATTAAATTTTGAACAATAAGATATGATGATTTTGACCAAAAATGCTATGATTCGTGGACTGATTTTTGCATTATTTCTACAAATACCAAGTATGATTTGAAAATGATCGGAACCGAAATAAAAATTATAATTTTTATCGATTTATAATTTATCTCGAGAAAATTAGTTTTCAACAATACACAAAAACATTTGCCAAGCGCAAACGTGGCACTCGTACCCTTTCCTCCACGCTCTTTTTGCGCTTATAAACAGAGAGTGAGATCTGATAGGTAAATTTCTAGGGTTTTGTTTCTGCGAGAGAGTTGATCAGGATGAGCGAAGGCGACGGTGGTGGCGAGCGGAGAAGAGGGACGGTGAAGTGGTTTGATAGCCAGAAGGGTTTCGGTTTCATCACCCCCGATGACGGCGGTGACGATCTCTTTGTCCACCAGTCCTCCATCAGATCTGAGGGGTTCCGTAGCCTGGCTGCAGATGAGGCGGTCGAGTTCGAGGTCGAGGTTGATAGCAACAACCGCCCCAAGGCCGTTGACGTCTCCGGCCCCGACGGTGCTCCCGTTCTGGGAAGCAGCCGTGGTCCTCCCGGCGGAGGCGGCGGCTATGGTGGAGGTGGAGGAAGAGGCGGTGGCCGCGGGTACGGCGGGGGTTACGGTGGGAGAGAAGGTCGAGGCGGTGGCGGTGATGGAACGTGCTTCAAATGCGGAGAGCCTGGCCACATGGCGAGGGACTGCAACCAAGGCGGCGGAGGCTACGGTGGCGGTGGTGGTTACGGAGGCGGAGGCAGGTATGGCGGTGGCGGAGGCGGGAGCTGTTACAGTTGCGGCGAGTCCGGCCATTTCGCAAGGGATTGTATGAGCGGGGGCCGTTGAAACGGCTTTTTCGTCGGGCGGTGGAGAAGGGTCAGACGGTTCTATTCTCGTCGCGTATCATCCAATATTGTCCGCTTTTGCTTTGGATTTAGTGTCTATCTGTTTCCATTTTCACGATATGGGTTTGGTTATGGTGCTTGGGATGAGTAAGAAGCGTAGTGTTTCCTTTGGGGAATTTTTCTGTTTTCTGATGCATGTAAAAGCTCTTGCTCTGTTCCAAGTGTTCACATACGCAACAATTTCGGTCGGATTCTGATGGTTTTGTTGTTGAGTTTCAATTGGTGTGCAGAATGCGTCTTAGGGATCAGATCGAATATGTAGAGAGATTCTTACTGGTGATTCCATTTGTTGCTTTAAGGTGGCCACCAGATCTCGTGCCCAACAATGAGGTAATCACGTGGATCATGAATTATGGGCTCGATGATCTACTCATTTCTGCGATGGACAGGAGAGAGATGTGGACCGCGGCTATAGACACGTAGATGCGTCACCATATGCATCAACTATTAGGGATGCCCAACATATCTTTGAGAATCTTTCCATCTGTGATCAATTTTGCTGGAGAATCTCTCTTGTCATATCCTCAGATCTCTTAAGTCCTATCCCAGATGTGATTTTCTTTACAGGTCATCGATCTTTGTGTTAGTTTGGTCGATGAGATATTAAAAATGGTGTCTGGGTTCCCCCCCCCCCCCCCCCCC